AAGCCACCCCACACAACGCACACACGCATACACACACATTACGGGCTAATATCACTGATGAACATAGATGCAAAAATTTTCAACAAAATTGAGCAAATTGAATTCAACAATGGATTAAAATAATAATATACTGTGTCCAAGTGGAATTTATTCCAGGGATGCAAAGATAGTTCAGCATCCACAAATCAACATAATATACCACATTAATAAAATGAAGGATAAAAATCATATGACCATCTCTATAGATGGAGAAAAGGCATTTGAAAAACTTCAACATCCATTTATAATGGTTTAGAGGGAAACCATCAACAAAGATGGTTTAGAGGGAACATACCTAAACATAATAAAGGCAATATATGGCAAGCCCACAGTAAACATCATACTCAATGGTGGAAAGCTGAAAGCTTTTGCTCTAAGAACAGGAACAAGACAAGGATGCCCACTCTTGCCACTTTTATTCAACAGAGTATTGGAAGTCCTAGACGCAGGAATTAGGCAAGAAAAAGAAAAGGCATCCAAATTAGAAAGGAAGAAGTAAAACTATGACTACTTGCAGATTACATGATACTTTATATAAAAAACTCAAAAGATTCTACCAAGAAAGTGTTAGAATAACTGACTTCAGTAAACAGGATACAAAATTAACATACAGAAATCCATAGTGTTTCTATATACTAATAGTGAATTATCAGAAAGAAATTAAACAATTCGATTTATAATTGCATCCAAAAAATAAAATACGGAGATAAATTTAACCAAAGAGATGAAAGACCTATACACTGAAAACTTTAAGACACTGATGAAAGAAATGGAAGAAGATACAAATAAATGGAAAGATACTCTGAGCTCATGGATTGGAAGAATTATATTGTTAGAATGTCCACACTACCCAAACTATAGATTCAATGCGATCCCTATCAAAATTCCAATGGTGTTTTTCACAGAACAAATTTAGAAATAATTCTAAAATGTGCATGGAACCACAAAAGATCCCAAATAGCCAAAGCAATGTTAAGAAAGAATAACAAAGCTGGAGGTATCATCTCTCTGATTTCAAACTACAAAGCTATGGTTATCAAAACAGTATGATACTGACACAAAAACAGACACACAGTTCAATGCAACAGAATTGAGAGCCCTGTATTAAACCCACATATAGGGGCACCTGGGTGGCTCAGTCGTTAAACGTCTGCCTTTGGCTCAGGTCATGATCCCAGGGTCTTGGGACTGAGCCCCGCATCGGGCTCCCTGCTCCGCGGGAAGCCTGCTTCTCCCTCTCCCACTCCCCCTGCTTGTGTTCCCTCTCTCGCTGTCTCTCTCTCTCAAATAAATAAAATCTTAAAAAAAATAAACCCACATATACATGGACAATTAAGTCATGACAAAGGAGCCAAGAACATACTATGGTGAAAGGTATTGGAAAAAACTGGATCACTATCTTACACCATACACAAAAACTAACAAAATGGATTAAAGACTTGAATGTTATACCTGAACATAAAATTCCTAAAAAAAAAAAAAAAAAAACATAGGCAGTAAGCAACTTGACTTTGGTTCCAGCAATTTTGTGGATCAGATTTAAAAGGCAGGGGAAACCAACACAAAAATAAAGAAGATTACTTCAAACTAAAATGCTTCTGCACATTGAAAGAAACATCATCAAAATGGAAAGGCAACCTACTGAATGGAAGATTTCTGCAAGTCATATATCAGACCAGGGATTAATATCCAAAATATATAAAGAACTCAAACAACTCAACAGCACAACAACAATAAAAAAACAAACAACCTGATTAAAAAATGGGCAGGGAATCTGAATAGACATTTAGTATATCCACAGATATGTGCAACCATCAGTGGTCAATTCTTAATCTTCCTTTTACTTGGCCTATTGACTGCAGGTGACATAGTTGATCAATCGCTGTCTCCTTGAAACATTGTTTTCACTTGGTTTTCAGGACTGCACACTCTCTTGGTGTTCCTCCTTCCCCACTGGCCATCTCCTTTCAATTGGCTTTGCTTTTCTCCTCCCTGACTTCCTTCTAGAGATTGGAGTGCCCCAGGGTGTAACCCTTTAAGTTTGTCTTTATCTTCCTGGGTGATCTCATCTAGTCTTATAGCTTTAAATACCCTCTATATGTTTAGTCCTATCAAGTCTACATATCTAGCCCAGACATCTTTCACCATCTCTAAGTTTGTGTACAGAACTGCCTGCTCCACATCCCCATGTGGATTCTAATAGACAACTCAACATGTTCAGAACTAACGCTGTTCCACCTGCAGTCTTCCCTACCTCAGCTGATGACAATTTCATCCCTCTTGTTGTTCTGGCCAAAAATGGTAGAGTCATCCTTGATGCCATTTCTCTCTCACATACCACATTCAATCCATCAGCAAATTCTGTCGGCTCTACCCTCAAAATATTCAGAACCTTATCCCTTCTCCCACCTCATCTCTTACTGCCTGGTACAAGCCGCCACCATTTCTAGCTCGAATTATTGCCAATAGCCTACTAACAGGTCATACTGCTTTTATCCTTGTCCCTCTACAATCTACACTTAACACAGCAACTAGAGTGTTCCTTTGAAAATAGAGGTGATTTCATATTACACCTCTGCTCAAAACCTTGCAGTGACTCCCCATTTCACTCAAAATAAAAGCCCAAGTCCTTATAATAGCCCACAAGGCCCTCCAGCACCCGATCTGCCCCTGCTCCATTACCTTCTTGGCTTCATCTCTTACTACTCTTCCCCTTACTCACTTTGATCCAGTTATGCCGGCCTCAACTTTTTCCTTAAACACTCCAGGCACACTTCTGACTCAGAGTTTGCAGTGGCTAGTCCCTCTACCTAGGAAGCATTTCCTCCAACGGTATGGCTTGGCCAATTGCCTCACCTCCTTTAGGGCATTGCTCAAATTTCATCTTCTCCATAAGGCTTTCTCTTATCATCTTACTTACTATACAGTCAACCCTCTCCATCCTCCTCTACTTCTTCCTCCTCCACTTCCAAACCCACTTACCTTGCTCTATTTTCTCTTCTAGCTATAGCACTTACTACCTTTTAACATACACTATATTCCTTTCTTTTTTTTTTTTAAGATTTTATTTGAGAGAGAGTGAGCACTGAAGCCAGGAGGAGAGGCAGAGGGAAAGGGAGAAGCAGATTCCCTGCTGAGCAGGGACCTGGACACGGGGTTTGATCCAGGAACCCGGCAATCATGACTTGAGCTAAAGGCAGGTGCCCAAACCACTGAGCCACCCAGGCACCCCAACATACACTATATTTCTTATGTTTATTTCTTAGGTTTGTTTATAGTGTCTCCTTCACCTCTAGAATATAAGCTCTCCAGGGGGTACATGGGTGGCTCAGTCAGTTAATCGACTGACTCTTGATCTCAACTCAGGTCTTTCTCAGGGTCATGAGTTCAAGCCCTCATTGGGCTTCACGTTGGGCATGAAGCCTACTTAAAAAAAAAAAAAAAGAATGTGCTCTCTCCAAAGCAAGATATCTGTTCACTGATGTATCCCAAGGATATAGTACAATGTCTGGTACAGAGTAAGTGCTCAATAAATATCTGCTGAATGAATGAATGAATGAATGAATGAAAAATGTGGGTGATAATACCTACTCTAAAGTTATTTTAGGAATTAAATAACATGCAAAGATTTTGACACACAATAGACATCCAACATATGTTAGATTCCTACCTCCTTTCCCCAAATATCTTTACCATTTGCTTCCTCTTATAGCACTGCTCCTTCCCTCTTCTCTGAAAATTTTCACCATTCTAGGCTCTCCTTTGAGTTTAAATCCAGGAAAATCCAACAGAAGTCCACAGATGTCATCTGAGAAGAAAAGGAACCCTGGGAGACCAGCTTTACCTACTGCCACACTGTTGTTTTATACATTAAAATATACACATTTTAGGCGTACTATCTGATGAGTTTTGACAAATGTATAGGTGATTTGATTTGGAGTGGAGGGCATTAAGGTCACCTGGAATTATGTAGGTCCAGGGATTTAGCAGAGGGATCCTAGCTAGGAAAGAGAACTTCAGGGCTCTTGGAAAACATGCCCAAACAGGGACAAGTGGAGACACCATGGCCGACCTGAAATTCCTGCGGTCTCAGTGCACCAGAATCTGAACCTCCAGAACGTCTCACAACTTCGTGGCACCTGTTGGACCTCGGGCCAGCTCCCTTTCACACCAGTCTCACCTGTATAGGCCAGGAGCAGTGACCTGGGACTGAGTCCTCCCTTTGCCCTGCAACTCCCCTGCCACCACCCACACCCCCCATCCCCGCCTACCGGTGGGGGTGGGAGGGGTCGGCTTCAGCCAGCGACAGCCAAGTTTCACCGCTGCCGCGACACCCACCTGGCCTGATTTTCTCTCCAGCCTCAGTTAGAAATCGTCTTCGGGTCCGCAGCAGTACTGCAGGAGGGAAAAAGCGAAAGCGCTGCACCAGGTGTTGTCGTCAGAAATATCCCTTCGGGTCCGCCATCCTCCGGTCCCTGGGGGGGCTCTTGGCCTCTGAGGCGCGGTCTAGTGAGCCAGCCCAGCAACCAGGCCCTCTCCCGCCCCTTTGCGTCTAAATCCCTCTAAAGGTTGCAGGTACAGCTTCCCTTAGGTACGGCAACTCCGAGTTCAGGTTCGCTGGGGAAACTGAGGCAAAACTGGGGAGGGGTAAAGTTGGCCGCAGACCTTCCCCCTGTAACTGCGATAGCCCCTTCCGAAAGCCCAAAGCGGTGCGTGCCCATCCAAGAAACCCGTGGGGTGGATCCGCGCAAAAGTCTAGAGGAAAAGAGAAGCACCGCTCACGCGGCTGGGAAACCTCAGGGGTGGTGCCGGCTGGGGGTGGGGCCGGGGGTGGGGCCCGACAGAGGGCGGGGCCGACCTGGGCTACCAAGAGTGCCACCCTAGCCCTGCACAGCAGAGGTGGTGGTGGTGGCGGCCCTTGCCTGTGGCTCTTGTTCGGCTTGCGCCTCGACCTCGCAGCCATGGAGGGACCCCAGGAGCTTATGAGTGGGAAGCTCCAGCTCTGCCTCACCCCCGCTGCCCGGACCAGCCTCTTGCTGTTCAGGCTAAACGACGCGGCGCTGCGGGCGCTGCAAGAATGTCTGCGGCAACAGGTGCGGCCGACCCCGGGACCCGTCTTCCCTAGCCTCTACCCCTCGGGATCTCGGGCCTCAGCCGGTGACCCTGGAGAGGGGACCTGGGTATGGGAAGAGGCATCCGCAGGCTCCGACCTTCCCACCTCTCCAAGTGAAGCCGGCGAGGCAGATACCCCCTGGGCACCCGACGCCGGATGGTGGGAATGCCACTTCACCTGCATTTAGCTTGCATCTGCTCTCCCCGCAGGTTCGGCCCGTGATCGCTTTCCAAGGCAACCGAGGGGTAAGTACGGGCCTAGAGTGTGTGAAAAAGGCGGGGTGCGGGGAGAACAGAAGTGGGCTCCGGGAAGGTGCAGTCAGGGCGGAAGGCTGAGAGCAGTCACGGTCTGAGGAAGTTCCGAGAACTGAACCCCCAAGTGGGGCGGAGGGGGCTGCTAGGGTTGTGGTCCCAGGAGACTTCGGTTAAGGCGACTGTGCCGTCTCAGCCTCCTGGGGAAGTCAAGCCCAGCTGCACCTGGTGTACTAACGAGCCCCGTGGGACCCATCTTCAATCTTAGGTTGGCTCAAGGAAGAACGGCAATGGGAGGGAGGGGCTGACTTCACGGGACTTATGGTTCTCTTTTTGCCCTCAGTATCTAAGGTTCCCAGGCCCTGGCTGGTCCTGCCTCTTCTCCTTCATAGTGTCCCAGTGTGGCCAGGAGGGCTCTGGAGGTGGCTTGGACCTTGTGTGCCAACGCTTAGGCCGGTAAGGGGGAACAGGTAGCAGGCAAAAAGGGTTTGTGTAAAGTTGGGGAGGCTGATTTCAGAGGTGCTTAAAAGTTCTCCATCTTCCTGGGATTTTTCCACCACCCCTTTCCAGATCTGGACCTAACCACCTCCACTGCCTGGGCCCACTCAAGGAGCGCCTCACTATTTGGGCAGCCATGGATTCCATCCCAGCCCCATCTACAGTTCAGAGATATAATCTGACTGACAGTGCCAGAGATCCTGAGAGTTGGCAGAACACAGGAGACTATTCTGAAGAAGACACAGTTTCACAGCCACAGATGGCACTAAAAGAGGTGAGGCCAGAAACTGTAGGTAGCTGGAATAAGGTGGGGCAAAGCCTGAAGCCCAGGGAGCCAAGTGCCCCTGCCACTTTCCCTGCCAGGTGCCAGATCCACTGGCAAGCAGCCAAGGACAGTCACTCCCAGGATCCTCAAGGGAACACATGACACAGTGGGCAGTGAGGTACTTGGGACAGGGTGGGACTAAGCTGGGAATCCCTGGTATCGTCTTCTAATCTCCACCCTAGAGGCTGTAGTAAGAGATCTTGGTCTTCATCTCTCCCATTCCCTCTTCAAATACCCCAGAAACCAGACCTATCTTCTGAACAGAGAACCTGACCAGGCACTGCCTTCCTCTGCTAGCCAGAAACATTTGGACAAGGTAAGTTGTAATAGGAAGGGTTTTTCAGAAATCTTTGTCCAGTCAGGCTAAAATTTTTATTAGGAGCCTTCATTGTGATGCTCCCAGAGCTCATTCTATGAAATTAGTTTTCAAGAGTCAGGCAGACTAGGCTTTCTGGGTTACTGTTTATGTGACATTTTTCCCAACAGAAGCGTCCAGCACCTACAACCACTCTAGGACTAAAAGAAAAGAGACTCAGAACTCTGCCTTTAGCTCCAAGTCCCCTACAAGGGCTGCCCAGTCAGGACCTACAAGAGGCAGAAGATTGGGAACAAGAAGATAAGGATGACATGGGCCCCAGGCTGGAACACAGTCCCTTAGTTCAAGCCGGTGAGTTAATGAGAAAAGAGCTAAACTGCCCTAGTGGAAAAAAGACCTATATGATCAGTTTTGTGTCATCTTGCTTCCTTCCCAGATTCTGAATCCCCAAGCCCTGAAGAGGTACCAGATTACCTCCTGTGAGTCTCCTGCTACTTCCAATTTTATCAAGCCTTGTGCATAGGAGATATTAAGATAAACTTCCTGGGAGCTTGAAGCTTTCAGGGCAAAGAAATTGAAGGTGGCAACTCTCTGCTCCTGGCAGGCAATACAGAGCCATCCACAATGCAGAGCAGCAACATGCTTATGAGCAGGACTTTGAGACAGATTATACTGAATACCGCATCCTACATGCTCGTGTTGGGGCCGCAAGCCAAAGGTTCATAGAGCTGGGAGCTGAGATCAAGAGAGTTCAGCGAGGAACTCCAGAACACAAGGTAAGGAGTGGACCCAAGATGGCTTTCTAGCTTTACTGGCCATAAATGCCCTGCTAATTGCCCTTATGACCCAAGTGACAAGCAAGTCAGTTTTGAGAGAAAAATTAACCTCTATCATTTAGTAGAATGAAATGGGAAATTACTTCTCTAAGAAAACTGGAGCTTTTTCCTCAAGGCTAAAGTTGGTGCTAGCATTTTCTTTGTTTCAGGTACTGGAAGAAAAAATAGTCCAGGAATATAGAAAGTTCAGGAAGGTAAGACAAGGTCTGGGAATGGTAGCAAAAAGGCGATCCTTTTGTTTGTTTTTTTGACATGGATGCTTTTCTTCTGCAGCGGTACCCAGGTTATAGGGAAGAAAAGCGTCGCTGTGAGTACCTGCATCAGAAATTGTCCCACATTAAAGGTCTCATCCTGGAGTTTGAGGAAAAGAACAGGGGCAGCTGAAGCTGTCAGAGGGCTCTTTACCCTCTCTCTGCTCAGTGAGATATGAAGGAACAAAGCAGCTATGAACTACACAGAGTGCAACTGTCTGCTCTTATTGCTGAGTCCATGGTGGCAAGTACGAGAGTCGAACTTTTAGATTCTTTAAGGTCTGACTTTCATTGTTGCCATATTTTACTTCTTAGGGTTTGGGCACAGTGCCAACACTCCACAGCTGTGCCCAGGAGAATAGGAAGAGTAGTAGAGGCTTGTTTTCTTCATCTTTAGTTCAGCCAAGTCATTTTCAAATTGTGAGAAATGACACCATTTCCAGGACAAGATACCTTGAGAACGTTAGAGTTTAGCCTGGTAGCCTCCCTGAAGAAACAGTAATGAGAACTTTTGGTAACAGCTAAAATAACTTGTAATACACCTAGATATAATGGGAAAGGGCTTGGTTGTTCCCCTTGTACTGAAAGTGAATTCTTTTACAAACATGGCTGAAAAGTGAAAACTGTTTGCTTCTGTGTCCTCTGTACAAGTTTATATGTTTTCCTTAACTCCAAGGCAACGGTTCTACCCATGAATGTCTATTTGAACCACTTTTTGGGTTCTCTAAAGAATTAATTCCCCAGATCCCAGCCCAGGTCTTATGAATTAGAACCTTCAAGGTTATGGTTAAGCATCTTTACTTTTTCAAAGCACTAAGGATGATCCTGATATATATTTTGCTATTAAGGCTCTATCAAATCCATCTTATAATTGACAGCTAGGGATTACAACAGGAATAAAGTTCTCTTTTTCAAAACATAGAGGTTGAGGATCACCTACAATTAGGGCTCCTATCTGGAATTATCCAGTACTGAAAACTTTTAACTGCAGATAGGATTTGGATTTACCCACAAAAAGAGGGAAATTCATTTGAACAAAAGATCACATCAATCCTATCGTTTTTGTTCCTCATTGTTGCAGAAGAAAAGTGGATGCTTCATTCACAACCAGGAATGATACTGTCTTTCCCAATTCCACTGGGAATGGGCCACACCCTGTGCTTTGGGGGGGAGAGAACTGCACCCAGCAGTGTCAGCAATTCCTGAAACAACTTGGATGGAACCCCAACCTGATGCCACACCCATCCAGGGCATTTTTGGGCAGAGACTAGTCTTTGGGAAGTATAAACATGCTCAGCTGCATGGCAAGGGTAAACAGTAACCCAACCTTAGGGTATGGGCAGGGCCAGAAATGGAGCCCAAAAAGAAAGGTCCCTCTCCTGCTCTAATCATCAGGCTAGGGGCCTGGGCCCTAACATGTAAGGATAGAAAAGTGATGAAATTTGGAAAGGATTTACAGGTAATAACTATGGATCCAGTTAGTTGGTCTACAGCAGCACTGACCAATATGGTAGCCACTAGCTCTATGGGTGACTATTTAAATCATATTTAATCTTAGCCATATTTCAAATGCTCAGTAGCTACATGTATTAGACAATGAAGATTATAGAATTTTCCCAACATGGCAGAAAGTTCTATTGGACAGTGCTGACCTAGAAAACCTTGGTTCCCCATCTCCTGGAAAAAAGACGGTTTAAAGGGGGCTCATTTATTGTCACTGTTCCAAATGTACAAAAAAAATTAGAAAATAACCCCCCAATTCAATCCCCCCACCCCCACAACACCCCCCCTCAACACAAATAGTTTTTCCCAAAACCACAAACATCAACTGGTCCTGGTATTTCCATAAACAGTGCAGCTAAGAAACAGTTTAGAGAAAATTTAACGGGATTCAGATTATATCCATTCTGTCCTCTCTGCCCTGAGAGTAATAATCCCATACGGGTCCCAGTCCTCCCCAATGGTCTTCCCATCTCTGGTGGATGAGTCCTTTCACAAAGTGGCATTTCTTGCTGCTGCCCTAGAGATCCTCCTGCGCCTTCTTCTTCCTCTTGGTTTTTTCTTCTTGAATTATAGGGGGATTTGTTGCCTCTCGTTGTAGATAGCTAATAAAATCACTTAATTCACGGCCACCCTGAAAACAGAAAGATCACTCTGAAAATTTAACCTTTTAAAGAACCATGGATTTTTTTTGCCCAATAGGAAGACTTCTGAGTTTGTAAAAGCACATTAACAACAACATATATTGACCATGAAATTGAAAGTTTCCAGTTAAATAAAACTCAAAGAACTGGATATGTGTGTGTATGTGTATATTTGTGGGGAGATGAGACAACGCACTTACTTCGTATTTCTTTGGATTTAGCTTCTTGTTGGCTGGAGAGAAGTAGATGGTAGGAAAACTGGGTTAAAAAAAAAAAACAAAAAAAAAACACGTTAACTCATTCCAGGTGCCAGAATAACTCCAACATACTCTTCCCCAAAAACTGTTTCTGGGAATAACTTCTCATGATTTCTATTTCTATTTTCTATTTTTTTTTTGAAAGATTTTATTTATTTATTTGACAGAGGGAGAGAGAACGCAAGCATGGGGAGCAGCAGGTAGAGGGAGAAGCAGGCTCCCCGCTGAGCAAAGAGACCGATGCAGGGCTCGATCCCTGAACCCTGGGATCATGACCTGAGCTGAAGGCAGACGCTTAACCGACTGAGCCACCCAGGCACCCTCTTTTTTTTTTTTTTGAGAGAGAGGGAGATGAGCATGCGTGTATGCATACAAGCAGGGGTGGAGGGGCAGAGCGATAAGAGAAAGAATCTTAAGCAGGTTCCATGCCCAGTGCAGAGCTGACCTGGGGCTTGATCTCACGACCCTGTAATCAAGACCTGAACTGAAATCAAGAGTTGGATGCTCACTGGGTGTTATACGCAAACAATGAATCATGGAACACTACATCAAAAACTAATGATGTAATGTATGGTGATTAACATAATAAAATAAAATTTAAAAAAAGAAAATAGAGTAAAAGTTGGATGCTTAAGCAACTGAAGCACCCAGGCGCCCCTCGTGATCTCTCTCTCCTTTTTAAAAATTTATTTGAGAGAGAGAGAGAGAGAGCATAACGAGGGGGCGGGGCGGGGCAGAGAGGAGCAGAGGGAAAGAATCTCAAGCAGCGTGGAGCCCTATGCAGGACTCAATCTCACAACCCTGAGATCATGACCTGAGCTGAACTCAAGAGTTGGATGCTCAACCGACTGAGCCACCCAGGCACCCCAATTTCTATTTCTGACCAGATACTATTCTCTATCGGTGGCTAGGTTACATCCTATCAAAACTTGGTAATATGAGAGCTCATAAAATCTGTGGCAGTCATGTGGGCCCATGCAGCAGAACTCCAAGCCAGAAGGCATCAGTAGTTCTGTGCTCAACTGCAATGAGGGATCCACTCCCTAAACCATGCCCAATAAATGGTTTATAAGCTTACTGTTTTCCCTATCAATTACCTAGACAGTTTTATTAGCTTTTAATCTACTTACCCTCTGACTTCATATGGAGAAGGCACATCATTGGCTGTGGCATCCATCTTGGCTATGATAATATTTGGGTCTTTTCTGAGCTGTTAACAAAAAGGTTAGATCTTTAAACTTTCATTTTTTGGTGACTGAGGGACACTTAGTCAAATCAGCACTTAAAATAACCTCATTTTTAAACACCTGAATAATTCTGCTCAGATAGGAAGAACAGTGAGACTTGTACATTTTATCTAGCTTTATTTGTACAGTATTTCTTTTCTCTCTTGGTTTCTCCATAGTAAGACTCTATTTACAGCCACCTTCAAAATTACCTGGCCTAAATAAGACAGTAAAAGGGCTAAGTCAAGAGAAACATAATGGATTCATATAAGCCATTACCAAAATTCAGAAGCCTGTATACCTTAACTACAATCTAGATTTGAGTCTTTGGAGTGGAAAGTCAGAACAGGTGTCTGAGGCACTGCACAGACTAGAGATATTAGGGGGGCAGTCAGGAGAAAAGTAAACAGCTGAAAAGAAATCTACCAGAATTAGGTACTGAATTAATTAGGATAACTAATTTAGCCAATGCTGAATATGTGTGTCAACTTCCCAACTCAAATTTTATCTTCAGAATATAGTTCAGACTTACCTTCTCTCCCAGTTCTTTATACTTAGGCTCCAGATTCTTACAGTGACCACACCAAGGAGCATAAAATTCAATCAGTACATCTTTATTTTCGTCATTCACTATTTCATCAAAATTCTCTGCTACCACTACCTGGAATACACCAAAGATCCTCTAGTTGGTAAGGCAAGGTGAAGAATAAAAATCACAAGCTGTATTTGTTTCTGGACCCAAACCCTCTCAAATTTGATGTATCGTCACTGAAAATATGTCATTGAAACCCAAATCACATTTACAGATTGTATTAAAGATGTTCTGGTCATTTTCCAGAAACCAACTTATTCCCATGTCTGTCACCTGTCAAACTTTGTTCAGGAAGCCATAGGAAGTAAGTACTACCCAACCCTTCCCTAATCTCAAAGCAACAATTTTGAAACTATTCTTAGAGGTTAGCTTGCTCTATCCCGAAGAGTAACTTAGTTCTAATATAAATACCGTCCCAAATTCTAAGATTTTATACTTTTGCCCCTACTGAGCATTATAAGCTCTGCCAATGCTTATTTTATGACACAGGGAGGTGAGGACAAACAAAAACAAAAACATGATAGCCAAAAAGGTCTCACTTAGACCCAGCATTTTTTGGAATAAAGAAATGAGGAGAGTCAATTATATCTCAATAAAACTAAGAGCGCATGGGGAGAGCAGGGGGAGACGAGGACAGGCAGCTGCTTAAAACCCTGATGAGGCTGTCAACTCCTCACCTTTACCGGCCCATCATTGCTCTCCGGAATGGGCTCAGACTTCAGATACCTCTTCAGGTTGCCATCAAAGTAATCTTGCAGGAATCTTTCAAGAGCCTTGCCATCACGTCTGCAATTACAAAGACAAGGATCAGGCTTGTTAATCTTCGACTGAGAGGATTAAAAGCAATTTCTTAGAATAGTTTTTACATATTCTAGCTTCAATTTCAAGGTTAGAAATTGGAAGCTAAAAACAGGAGAAGCTTATCTCTCAACACGCAGATCTACTGACTGAACAAAAACCACCTCCTTATATTTCTAGTGTGTTCTTTGTGAATTAGAAAGATCAGAGAAGGAAGAAAACACTGGTCTTCTGGAAATTCACTTCTGCAAAAGAACCAGGTCTTCGTTGCTCTGGAGAATACCGCCTATTTATGATATCTTGTTTTATTGATTTGCTCACAATGAAGATTTTCTCTGGTTTTGGTCTCCCAACGTCTCAGAAGGTGAATAGTCATACTCTTCCAGGGTTTTAAGACCTTTCCATTCCCTGAGTTTATCTTAGGCCAGGGTAGTATTCCAAGAAGAAAAGACATTCTACAGGGATGGGAGGGGGTTGCACTGGTCTGAAATTACATCAATCTCAAAGAGACCGTCCAATGTTCTCTATCTACTATTTCTAATGGCAGGGTGGAAACAATCATGTAAGTATTCCAAGCTGCTATCCTTTTGTTAGTTTTCAGAATTTATTAAGGATTGTTATCCTTAAATACCTATAGTTTTTTTTTTTTTAAGATTTTATTTATTTATTTGACAGAGAGAGAGACTGAGAGCAGGAA